AGGGAGGAAAAATGTAAGTCTAGTAAGAACAAGTTTTAGAATCTTGATACCGGATAATGTCGTTAACGTGCGCATTGTTTTAGTTATAAGGTGTTGGAGACTTCCAAGCTGAGTGACTGGCTCTGTTTCGCTCTTAATTTGCACACCTCTTTTTTTTTTTTTTCCCCTTGTGGTGACGGGGCCACCTTTAGCCAGGTGAGACTTAAGTGTGGAGAACAGTGATTCCTTCCCATACATCCTTGTGCCCTGGGTAGGTGCACAGAGGCGGGGACCTAAGGGCCACCCAGGTTCTGCTCCCGAGCACACCAGAGTCTTTGAACCCCCTGGGGTGGGAGTGGGGGCGGGGCGAGGAGGAGCGATTGTAGTTTTAACTGCATCCCCCCTGCACCGCACCACCGGCTGGAGGACGGGGCAGCAGCCTTGCTTCCAGAGATTCTGGGCCCATTTACTGGGGTCCCCTTAGTAAATTCTCAGAGTTGGGAAAAGAAGGGAATCTAGGATTATTAAGCATCTATTATTTGCTCATTGTACGGTTTTATTTAATCTTCACATTTATCTTTATGCTTGTTTTACAGATAGGGCACAGGGAGGCTCCAGGAAGTTAAGTCACTTATCAGAGGAAGCACAGCCAGTGAGTAGCCAAATTGTCCAACTCTTTCCACTCTATTAGTTTATCCGCCCAATCGCTGGTTGTGGTGGGACAAGGCCCTGCTGGGGCTCTAGCCCAGATTACCCTATTTTTAAGGCCAGCAGTTTGTCTATGGAGACACTCAGATGCCAGCTAGAGTTTGCGTTTTTTGAAGAGAATGTTAATTTCTCATCATGCTCTGGTTCAGAAATTTTAACATGGATTGATTTAGTTCCAATGTGCACACTGTTGCCCCCTGGGTGGGGCCTTGACCCAGGAGGCTGAATTTTATCTTTAACTCACCTGCTGACCAGCCCTGGACCAGGGCAGGTCTGTGTCCAGGACAGATGGGCCAGTCTTGGCCAAGGAGCCACCCACATGTGTGTGGGGGAAGGGTACAGGGAGGCGTCATGACTGGGTGCTCACTTTTTCCTGGAGCCACATGGACTCCACTTCATCCTCCTTCATGGATTCAGAAGGGAATGGAAGTTTCCCTTGCTCTGCCTCCTGCTCCCTGTGAGACTGGGCAAGTCATTAGGGCCTCTCAGGGCCTCAGTTTCCTCCTCTGGAAAGTGAGCAAGCAAGTTGGAGCAGACTAGTTCTAGGGTCCTATGATGTGATGTAGGCAATATGGTTTGAGCCAGAACCACACTTAGTTATTGCTGTCCCTCAGAGGCCTTGGTGTGACAGTAAAGACTGACAGTAAAGATGTGGTGAATGGATGAGAAACTGACCAAGCATAGACTTGAAAGGCCTCAGGCATGCAGGACACAGTATAGAACCAATACAGAATGTTTGATGACCCCAGCGACTCCTTCAGAACTGAGCTTTCAAATAAATCAAATATCTGCATTCAGAGCAAGGCAAAAGAGCAGTCTGGGGAGGAGGAAAAAGTCACTGAAGAAGTAGTGGCCCCACCCAGGAAAAGTGACTAACTCTGCATGGGCTGGGGCTGGGCAGACACACTGCCCTAAGCTGGTGGTGAGTGGGGAACAGGGCCTGTGGCAGCTTTTCTGTCTTTGTGTGGCTCTCCTCGCAGGCAGGTCACAGATTCAGATGCTGACTCTGGGGGAGGGGCCAGCAGTTGGCTAAGGCCAGTAGGGAGGAGGGGGCTGGGGTAGACTTTTAGCCTCCCTGTAGGTGCCTCTTAGGAGCCAGCCTGGCCTCAGCACAGGCTGGAGATGGAGCAGGGGTGTGGCAGGTGGGCGGGGCACCCCGGGAGGAGTCAGAGGGAAGTGAGAGGCTGGGTGGGGCAGGCTGTAGGGGAAGCAGAGCCTGGCAAGCAAAAGCAGAAGCAGAAGCAGAAGCAGAGCTGTGTAACGGTGAGAGTGGGCTTGGTGTTGGCTGTCTGAGACCCTCTTAGGTGGGCAGATGAGGGCCGGCTGCCATGATCTGGAAAGAGACTCACATTTCTGGAAGCTGCTTTGTCCAGGACCAAGTCTGGCAGCCCACTGTCCTGGCAGCTCTCCACCAGGCTATGGGTACATTATCTGATGGGAGCCTCTCAGCACCCAGGGTTGATGGGGTTGTCATCATGATATTGACAAGGAACTCCTGGGTTGGGGCTTGTCCTGGCGTGTGAGAGGTGATGCCCAACCTCCTGACAGAGGCCATTACACCTGGACTCCTGAAAGCCCTCAGCCAGCCTGGAAGTGCATTCAGATTTGAAGAAACTTATTCCTAAGACAAGACAGTGGTGTGACTGTAGATAGGTGGGCTGGAGTGGTTGGGGGAGGGGTCAGAGCATGCCTAGCATTTGAATTCCAGTCTATTATTTTGCACATTAAACAACACCTTCGCTGAGGGTCTGGCCAGCTGCCTGGGGTACGGTTGGGACTGAGAGGCGAAGGTGCAACAGGGGAAGGGGAGGCGGCTGACTTGGTGTCAGGGAAAAGAGTCCCTGATGAAGCCTCCGGATCCAGCTCTCTAAATGCCCTTGTTTTGGACTGGGAGGATCTGGTGCCCTTTCTATTGTTGATACTCACCCTTCTACCTTTTTGGGGGAGAGGGGTAGGGGCTGTTTCATTTCACAACTAGGGACAAACAGGGACTGTGAGGTGAAGGGACTTGTTAGGGATCAATGGCATCAGGGCCTAAGGAGAGCTAAGATAGCACCTACCAGAGGACTTTTGCCATTTTGACAGCCTTCAAGCATTGCCTTAAAGGTACCCATATTAGCAGAGTTCCCCCCAACCCTGGCCCTAGTACATCCTCAAAGACAAGCTCCTGGGCACACTACTCCCCCCAACCTCCCCTCCCCGACCCCACCTCCCATCTACTGACTGGATTTCTAGCCCCATCTGCTTTCTGCCTTGGGGCTGCTCTAGCCTGTCTGCTCTAGCTCCAGACTGTTGAAATTCTGCTGTCTCAAGCTCCATCTGATCTACTCATTGGAGCCCAGCAAGTCCAGTTAATCAAATGCATTTTCTGAGCACCTGCAGTATGACAGGCACGGTGTGAGGTTCCAACTAGATTCAGAGAGGCAAAATACAGTCCCTGCCCCAAAGGCCCTTATAGTCTAGTAGGGAAGATGGGCAGGCCCATAACTCACCATACTAGGGCAGAGTGGGAAAAAGCAAAGGCTGTAACGTGGAGGTGAGGAAGAGGCTGCCTTGTGAGATCAGTTCCCCATCAAAAAGAGGATGGAGAGGTTTGCTACAGGAGGGATTTCTGCGCTTCATGTGTATGGGTATGTTGAAAGGCAGAGGTGGAGTAGGATCAGATAAGCATTAAGGCTCCTTCTAATGCTGACATCTGTGATTTTGTGAAATCCCCCACCTAGGGGAAGTTTGAGGTCTCACTGGTTGTGATGACTCCCTACTTCATGGCTCTCCCCAAGATGACCATGGGGTTGTTGTTCTTCATTTCTGTGCCCACACCCCATTCTGTCCAGTGCCAAGTTTCCAGCATAGACTTTGAATGGAATCGAACGGACCCTGTCAGGGGCTGCTTGAGGAATGCAAGTATATCAGACATGTCCCCTTCTCTGGTTGAGATATTAAGCTATCAGGTCCTGCTATAAGACAGCCCACAAGCAGGGACCGAAGTGTACGCTCCCAGGTGAGAGGGCTGAGAGAACTCCCAGAGAAGGCCAAGGCCATGGAATGTCTTGGAAGGCTCCTCGAACAGCTGGGACTTGATATGGGTCTGGAGGGCTGGAGGGGCTTTGATGGACTTGAGGGTGGAGGTGCGCACTGAGGAAGCACAAGGAGCTGTGGGCTTGGGCAGAGGGGCTGTTGGGGGATGGACAGGGAAGAAAGGCCGGATGTCAGGTGGATCCTTGTCTATGAGAGCCTGGAGCGGGAGGCTGAGGGGTAGGGATCTGATGAGGCAGCAGGAGTGTCAGCCCTCATCAAGCATTAGAGTCACCTGGAACTTCTCAAATACTGATATCCAGGCTCCATTCCAGAGTGATTTTAACTATGTAGCCTGGGCATTGTGATTTTTTTTTTTTTTTGCAGCCGCCCAGATGATAGTAATGCTCAGGCAAGTATGAGACCGTGTTCTGGACAGTTAACTGGCAGCATCAGAAACTGGAACATACATTGAAAGTGCCAACACACAGGCTCCACTCTGGACCTGTGGAATACAAATCTCCAGGCTGGAGTTTGGGCATCCGTGTTTTTATAAAATCATGAGGTAATTATAACAGGAGCCAGGGCAGAGCGCCAGAGTGATGATGGAGCAGGCAGCCACAACCCTTTCATCAAAACCTTACAGTGGCTCTTGCCTGCTCGGAGCCCCGCCATGTGAGCTGCCTGCTTTTGGGTTAGGGTCTGAGCTCTCTGATCAGTAACAGAATGAAAAATAGTAAAGCTGACAGTTGGCCCTTTTGTTCACATTATCTCTCTTCCCTTGAGCTCTCCCCACTTTCTTGGGCTAGGGGCAGCCACCTCACCACTTCAGACCTGAGTCACAGGCTGGGCTGCCTGTGGTAGGGGATGTGGGCACAGCATGTGATCCTCTGTGGGTTGGAGAAATGTTAAAGTTTCCTTCCTCCAAACTTCCCCCTCACTGCCTCCCCTCTTTGGGGAAATGTGGTTCCAAAAAGTGTCTTCAGCTATGTTGTAAGTTAGGCATGGAAAAGGAAAGTCATAATTCACATTGTTTCTTACAACCACTAGTCCTGCTTCTCAGACTCAAAACATCCATCTCCCAAAGATTTTTCTTTGCCCTTCCTGCTTGCCCAGCCCCCAAGAGTCCACTAATGGTTCCAGTTTGCCTCTTCGGTCTGAAATTCCTAGGCCCTTGTCCTACATCACTAGGGCTCACCTTGCAAAAATGCCTGGATTGGCCTTACAAAAGGATTCACCTTGCATGAATTGTGTTGCAGAGCCTGCTGGTGTCAACTCTGAATTTTAAGTGTTTGCCTTTAGCATTTTTCTCCCTGAATAACTTTTGTCCGAAAAAAGTTGCCGTCGCTAACCAACAGAATAAAGGTGAGGTTCATCATCCTGGCATGTGAGAGGAGCTGGGTATACAGAAATGATAGCCGATGCCTGGGAATGGGTGAAATTCCCTGAGAAAGGGATTTAGAATTAGAGAAGGTACTAAGTTTAATGTTAGCTGTTCAGTTTTTTGTTTTTCTTATTTTTGGTAGATGCTTTTTATCAGGTTAATGAAGTTTGCTGAAAGTTTTTTTAAAAATCAGGAATGGATGTAGAATTTTGCTTAAATGCTTTTTCTGCATCTACTGAGATCAAAATAGTTAATTGGATGGATTACTTTGATTTTCAGATGTTAAACCAGCCTGTATTCCTGGGATAAACCCTTATTTAGTCATATGTTTTATCCTTTTTATATATTATTGAATTCCATATGCTAAAATTTTGTTACTATTTTTTATGTCTGTGTTCATAAGTGATATTGGTATAATTTTCTTTTTTATAATATATTTATCTGGTTTTATATCAGGATGATGCTGGCAGCATAAGACAAATTGAAAGTGTTCTCTTCTATTTTCTGGAAGAATTTGTATAGAATTGGTGCTATGTCTTGGAATTTTTTTGGGGGGAGGGGTTAGGGCTTTTTAAGTACAAATTCAATTTCTTTAATAGATATTAGAACTATTCAGGTAATCTGTTTCTTCTTGAGTGAACTTTCCTAATTTGTGTCCTTCAAGGAATTTGTCTTTCATATAAGTTGTTGAATATATCATCATAAAGTTTTTGTAAGATTCTCATTATCCGTTTTATATCTGTAGAATCCGCAGTGATGTCGCCTCTCTGGGAATTTGTATCCTTTCTTTTTCCTAATCAGTTTGTCTAAAGGTTCATGAGTTTTACTGATTTTTTCCGAAAACCAGTTTCCGTGATTTTTCTCTTTCTCTTTTTTTTGGTTTTCTGTTAATTTCTATTCTTATTTTTATTATTTATGTTCTTTTGACTATTTTGGGTTTAGTATGCTTTTCCTTTTTTTATGGTAGAAATTTAAGTCATCAATCTTAGACTTTTCTAATATAAGCAGTTATTGCTTAGAGAACTGTATTCTAGCCTCATGCAATGTCCAGAGCTAGGGGTCTGGAAGCAGAATAGAAGTGTGGCCAAGAGGTCACAGCAAGGGGAAGACACTGGCCCAGGAGCCACAGACCTGGTTTTCTCTAGCCACTCACTAGCTGTGTGACTTTGGACTTAGACTCTCTGAGTTTCAGTTTCTTTGCTAGCGTAATGGAGCCAGGGATAATCTCTTCTTGGGCTCTGGGAGATGAAACAGCTGATGAACATGAAAACACTTAGCTACCTGGAAGGGCCTCTCCAGAGCAATGTGAAAGGTGGTTGTCATGACTTTTGAATAATAATGGCTGCTTCTGTCTTTCCAGACCCAGAGACAGCATGTACACGCCTATCCCTCAGAGGTAGGCTGTATACCTCATCTCATTTCACCCCTCCTCTCCTTCATTTCCAGGGGTTGCCCCTCACCCCAGCCCCCCTCCGCCCCACACCACAGTCCCCAGGCCTGCCCCCGGTCTCTCTGCTTGCGGCTACTCCTCCGGGACCCTGGCCATTGCCAACCTTCTCCCCTCCCGCAGCGGCTCTCCGTTCCCGGCCTCAGTGCAGGACCCTGGCCTGCATGTGTGGAGGGTGGAAAAGCTGAAGCCGGTGCCAGTGGCCCGTGAGAACCAGGGCATCTTCTTCTCGGGGGACTCCTACCTAGTGCTGCACAATGGCCCGGACGAGCTCTCCCACCTGCACCTGTGGATTGGTAAGGGGCTGGGGGAAGGGAGGTATCTGGTAAGGGGTCCCAGGGCTGGTATGGGTCTCACAGGCCTGGTCTTGGCCCCTCCTACCGCCCCAGGCCAGCAGTCGTCCAGGGATGAGCAGGGCGCCTGCGCTGTGTTGGCCGTGCACCTCAACAGCCGGCTTGGGGAGAGGCCTGTGCAGCACCGAGAGGTGCAGGGCAACGAGTCCGACCTCTTCATGAGCTACTTCCCGAGGGGCCTCAAGTACCAGGTCAGCCCCCCACGCGGCTTCTCTCAGCTGCCCCACTTCCAGCTGGTTTTTACCCTGCAAAAGGCCCAGGTGCCCTTGGGGCAGGGTCCTCCCCACCTTTCCGCCTGTCTCCCAGTGGGCTGGGGTATGCAGGGCCCTGGGCCTCCCACCAGCCCACTCAGGCGGGCCATCTGGACTGCAGGAAGGTGGGGTGGAGTCAGCATTTCACAAGACCTCCCCAGGGGCCACCCCAGCTGCCGTCAGGAAACTCTACCAGGTGAAGGGGAAGAAGAACATCCGTGCCACTGAGCGAGCACTGAGCTGGGACAGCTTCAACACCGGGGACTGCTTCATCCTGGACCTGGGCCAGGTAGGTAGGCGGGGCAGGACTGAGCACTCTGTGTTGGCACCGTCTTTTAAAAGGGCAGGTTTTATGAACATGCATAAACTATAGATTTTATTTTTTAAAAAAAGAAAGCAGGAGTGGAGCAAAATGATATCTTTAGATTAGGTTTCTTAAGTTTACCATCAATGTTAAAATAGATACAATCGATTTCTTGGTAACTGCTAATTCTTTTCCAACTCAGCGTATTAATTCAATTGATTAAAGTTTTATTAATGGTATACATGCTAAGGTAATTGTCGAGCTTCAAGAACCATCACAAAAAAAGTATAGTTATAAGTTAAATCTAGAAAACATCTTAATAAAATTGCTGATCTGAGTCAGACTTGGTGTGCTGTTATAGAAAAGTGGTGTAGAATATTTTGAAACCTATAGGAAATCTTAATTTAAGAAGAGAGGTGGAGAACATTAAAAGCTGTGAAAGAAGCAAGTTTGGGTTTTTTTAAATAAATCTTTAAATTTAGGGAATTGATCTTGGTCTCAGTAAAGATATTTTAGTTCATAATTTATCATTTTAATGTACTAATTAACTTCTGATGATTTCTAATTATAATAACAATAGGCTGTGACTATCAATTCTCACCTTCATGCCACACATTAGAATTTGTCTAGCACTTAAAAATACCAAACAAAATTAACAAACTGCATTTCTCTTGGGGATTGACCAACTCGAAAGGCCCCTTAAGAAATGAGGCTTAAATAGGAACATGTTGATCATATTATTTACTTAGGGCTCAATTATATTAACGTGAAATATATTGAAATATGTAGCATTATGACGATGTGTGAACGAATAACTTTAGAAAAGAGTAGATGAAACCTCACCTACCTGATAATAACAGTGGTTGGGGGAAGTAGGGAGGGGGAAAGGTTTGGGGATAGGTATAGGGGAATATTCAAAAGGGATTTTATTTGTAAAGTTTTAATTTTTTAAATAAAGAATCTACTCATATTACTTTGTATAATTAAAATTAACTTGAAAATTAAAAGAAAGTTATATTTTATACTTATAAAAAAATAATAAATAAATAAATAGGCAGGGACAAGGCAGCCAGTGGGGAGAGAGAGAAGCTGAGAAGCATGTATTCCAAGTGGGACCACTCTAGCCATTAGAAGCATCCCTGCATTCAGAAGGACAGAAACCTCCCTCTGCTTCCCAGCCATTGGCTCTAACACTGGGGCCCACCAGCTCCTTCTCTTACAGCCATTGTCACCCTGAGTTAGTTGCCTGCCAGACCATTCGTTAATCTGTTCCCTCATCGGTTCACTCAGTGAATCTGTGATGCCTGCTCTGAGCCAGCATGGGGACCACAAATTGCTTGCCCTGAGGAGGCAATAAAGATGAGTCCGGCCTGTCATTTGCTGTAATCCATGGCGAGGTGTGTTGAGGGCTTTAGGAGAGGCAGCAATGTGGGGAGGGGCTCTCTAGCCTGAGCCGAAGCCATTGTCCCAGGAAGATGCCATTTGACTAGACCTTCACAAATGGGAAATGCCATTCCAAGCAAAGGGACAGGTGAGCTGAGGCACTAAGGTGAGGAAGAGTGCAGAAATGCACGTCAACAGCAGGGACAGGGTGGGAACAAGAGCCATGGGAGTGAAAATCGCTGAGGGTGAGAGCCAGGTCATGAGGAGACTGACTGAGGAGTCTGAACCAAGACTTATGCTGAAGACTTTGCGTAGGAAGATCAGCCCAAGAACTGTCTAGAGGGAAGTCTAGAAGCTGTGAGACAGAGGCAGGGGGGCCAGCTCTGGAGGAGTGATGAGGGCTGGGTTGCAGGTAGGATGCCGAAGGATAGCATTCACCCATTTGTTCATTCATTTATTCATTCATTCAGTCGATAAATATTTATTTTGTACTTAAATATGTGCCAGTCTCTGTTTTAGCACTGGGCATACAGCAGTGAGTAAAGCAAAGCAAAACAAAACACTCATGCCCTAATAAAGCTTACTTTCTAGTCAGGGGAGATAGATTATAAACAAGATAAAGATGTTGATATATGTGCCAGTAAATGATGAGGAGAAAAATAGAGCAGGAGGGAGATAGGGGCCAGGCAGAGAAACACTCCTACAGTGTCATTGTCACCATTCCCAGAGAAGCCTCGCTTCTCCTCCTGCCTCCTTTAACCTGGGCCTCCCACTTCCCTTTAGAACATCTTTGCCTGGTGTGGTGGAAAGTCCAACATCCTGGAGCGCAACAAGGCTCGGGACCTGGCCCTGGCCATCCGGGACAGTGAGAGGCAGGGCAAAGCCCAGGTGGAGATCGTCACTGATGGGGAGGAGCCTGCCGAGATGATCCAGGTAGAGGGGATGTTGGGGTGGGTGGCCTCTGCTTGGAAACTACCGAGAAAGGCGGTGATCAGCTGGGGGCATGAGGGTGGTCACTGGATAATTGGGCTGAGGGCACCTGGGGCACTGCACAGGGCCTGATAGGTTGGGAAGGTCTGGGACAGGTGCCCAGGAATCCCTGGAAACTTGGTCTGCCCTGACCCCTGCAGGTTCTGGGCCCCAAGCCTGCTCTGAAGGAGGGCAACCCTGAGGAAGACCTCAAAGCTGACTGGACCAATGCCCATGTTGCGGCTCTGTATAAGGTGGGCACTCTGGGTCTGCCCTGGGACCAGGCAGGGGGCGGGAGCCCGGGAGCCTGGGGCACCGGGGGCTGAAGGGAGAGAAGAGAGTGCAGTAGGAAGTTTGGGCTGGGCACCAGGGCGGTTTACTTGGGGCTAGGAGTGAGAGAGGATGATGGGAGGTGGGTGGACGTCCGATGAATGCCACTTTATTTCCGGCCCATTCTTGGAGAAGATGTTGAGCTTTACTTTTTAATTCTTTGTATTTATTTGTAATTTGGAATCCACTTAATTTTCAAATGGAATCGGGGCCTTTGGGCTGCAGTGGTGAGGGTGATGTGAGGTGGGGAGGTTGCCTGTTAGTCAGTGCTTCCCTCCCTGTCCCCTGTCTGCTCCTTGGCCATTGGCGGGTAGGGGTGGTGGTGCAGGGCGGCAGCCTACTCCTTGGGTGGAGGTTAGGGCTGTGTTTTCGGGGGGTGAAGGGTGATCCAGCACTGCTCATCTGTTAACTTAAAAATAGAAAAGGCCTTTCTAAGTGAGAAGCAACAAGCATTTATTTGAGATCAAAAGAATAGCTATTCTGGACACATTGATTCAGGCAGAAGCCCAAATAGTGTTCTGATTAGGAGACAAAGATAATAGATATTTATGAGAAATAGAAGGGGAACCGTTACATCAATAGAAGGAAGGCATTTCTATTGGTGCAGATAACAAAGTGATGCTAATTCTAAAGAATGTTTTTAATTTTCTATCTGGTACCATCATATTTGCTCTCTTATCTTTGCAAATAGTTCTTTGGGACACAATGTTGCTTAGGCCCAGTCCAAAGGTAATTTTGTCCTGTTTGACATCCCAAAGTTTTGAGGTATAAGATGTGCAAGGCAGTACCTCTGGGATGGCTGCTCCAGCTCCATTTTAAAGTGGCTGCATTTATATTATTTTGACACATCTTCCCCCAGGTCTCTGATGCCACTGGACAAATGAACCTGACCAAGGTGGCTGACTCTAGCCCTTTTGCCCTCGAGCTGCTGATACCTGATGACTGTTTTGTGCTGGACAACGGGCTCTGTGGCAAGATCTACATCTGGAAGGGTACATGTAGCTTCTACACTCCAGACTGAGACTTGTGCCTTCTCTGACCCTGGCAGGCTTCCCCTTGGAGGGCTCAGCCTACCTGGGTTCTTTCAAAAGACAGCCTCTGGGAGCCTGGATGCTCTAGACCTGACCTCCAGGCTGAGGGTTTTCTCTTGGCTGTTCCCACCCTCTAAATTCTAGGCAAACTTCCTGAAACTTTAGCATGCCTCAGAATCACCCGAGGGCCCAGGGCTTCTGAAAACAGATAGTGGGACCACGCCCCGCTCCAGATTCTGATTCACTATGTCTGGTGTTGAGCCTGAGGAATATTTACATATGTTACTGGCTCTTAGGCCTTGCTGCAGGTCCTGGGACCACATTTGTGGACACTGACACAGAGCACTCCTAGGTCACCCGGGCTGCTGAGACTGTTGATCCTGACATTCTGCCTTGTCGTGTGACAGAAATTGAGACAAATTAAATTTTGCTTTAAGCACTGGGTAGCAAACTGGTAGAACTTGTTTTTCCAAGAGATTGTGTTGGTTGGAAATAGAAACACTGTTGTGCAGAAGCCTGTTCCTTGGTTTGACTCCAAAATGTTGAAACAGAACTGCCGTAGGAGTGATACTGGGAGCTTCCTACCTTCTCCACACTTGTCTTTTCTTGAGCATGTCTTACCTCTCTGACCAGATTATAAACTCCTTGAAAGCAAGAGCCATATGTATCTAGCGTCTTGATGGTATAGTATTTGCTCAATAAATATCTGTGGGGTCAACCAAGGCCAAGAGAAATTCACAGCTCTAGCCTGGTCAGGAAGATGGAGACTTGTTAGCTGTTCAAAGGATGGTTGCTACTAGGCAATAATACTTTTGCTTTAGGAAAGGACCTGGAGCAGCAAGCAGCCTGCTTTAGCTGCATGACTTAATGGTTTTGTTCTCTTGTCTCTGAAAACAACTCAGTATCTTGTTAGGAACAGGATAAGGCCAGTTTAAGCTGGTTCTGTGGCTATAGCATTAATGAACAAAAATTCAACTGAGTAAATTTAAAGCTTTAAATTTAAAGTTCATGAATCAGGCTGCGTCCTATCTAGTAAACAGAAGGGAGCTCAGAGGAGCTGTACAAAATGGAAGTCTTCTATAGGCAGAAAGAGAATGGGACAAGGAAGTGAAAAGAGTGGAATATTTCAGACAAGGTCACACTCCCTTAGGGGATTACAGGGGTCTTATGAGACGGATGACCTCACTAGTGTTGACTAGGAAATTCTAGACCAATTGGTTTTAAAATTCTGCTCCTGGGAGAGACTGAAACTGCAGTGAGGTTAGGTATTAAGTCTTGGTGGGTCTTACCACAAGAGACTCCATTTTGGGTCTGTTGTTTGTTTTAGCACTGGAGAGCCAACCACAGATCACAATTCTTACCTTGGAAAAATGGTTTAGGCTGGAGCCCATTTTATGTAAAAAGGGAATGCCTACAGGAGGGAATGGATGACTCTGTCTCCCTTTTTATAAACTCTTAGTTAGCATAACTACTAGGCTGATGTCAGCTATCTGGCATTATGGGAGTAAGATTGGAGTAAATCACAGCCTTTTGTCCTATTCAGTTGTACAAAGAAAGCTTGATGAACAGAATGGTTGGCAGACATGAGAGGCGAGGGGTCCTGGGCTGAGACCACGGCTCTAACATCTGATGTCAGGAGAACACTAATTCTTATGAATGTCCCTGGGGCCCTAGTCCGAGCAGAAGGTTTTGATGATTAGAGCGGACAGCAGTTATTGTCTGATTCGGAGCTACCACATTGGAAGAAGTCTCAAGGGCTTGACTTCATACCTCCAAAGAGCTCTTCAGCATTCTTAGCACCTCTTGGTCCATTTATTTTAAAGTTGCCTGCTAGTCTATGGACCCTCTTAAATTTTTCTTGAGATAAATGGGATGTGGGCTAGAGAAGGTCCTTGCTCTTTTTAAAAATCTCCTTAATGATGCAGGACGAAAAGCTAATGAGAAGGAGCGGCAGGCGGCCCTCCGAGTGGCGGAAGATTTCATCTCCCGCATGCGGTACGCCCCAAACACTCAGGTGAGGAGATACCCCGTGCCCCAAGCCCTCCTCTGCGGGCTCTTCCCATGGCCTCCTACTCCTCATACTGGATAAGAAGGGCAGGAAAGCCTCAGGCAAAGGCAAGAACAGTCAGGCCTCCCTACCAGACCTACTCAGTGGAGAAGCTCTTCTCATTCCTTTAAAATTTTAAAGTATGTATTATTTTCTGAGAGGTTGCAGGGCAGCACTCCCCTGGGAGCCCAGAGAGCCAGATGTACCTTTGGACAGCTTTTGTGCCTTCTCTGGGCCATTGTCCTTAGCTGGTATTGCCTCTTCTCATGCCAGCATGGTGACTCCACGTCATTCTAAGAGGTGCTGATAAGGCTCATCTATAACTGGTGCATCTATCAAACTGTGTACCTCCGTCCTTGAAGCATCAGTTTGCCCAGCCCATGTCCCTATAATCTTTCTTATCTCTTAGCTTATCTGGAGAAGCACCCTCGGCCTGGATGGCATGTAGACTCAGGCCTGGTGCCCAATACCCTCCTCCATGGCTCCAGCCCTCCCTGGTAGAGGCAGAGGTGGCAACCTTGTGAGCAGGACTTCTCCCTTGCTGTCCCTACAGGTGGAGATTCTGCCCCAGGGCCGCGAGAGTCTCATCTTCAAGCAATTCTTCAAAGACTGGAAGTGAGAGTGGGCATCTCCCTGTGCCCACCTTCTGCCTGCTTGCTCCTCCTCCTCCTGCCTGGTCAGTTTTCAGGTGCGCCTGCTGGTGTTCAATAAAGGAGACAAGTGCCTTCCCTACTCTGCCTGCACTGCCTGCCCTGGGCTAATTCTCCCTGCCCTACCAGCTCACCTAGGCTCATTCCCATGCTGGGGTGGAGTAGGACACAGGTGACAATTCTGCCACTCTGAGGGGCCAGAACTGGCTTTGCATGATTGGGGTAGAGGGGTCTGGAGTCCCAGTGGGCCTGGCAGGTACTGCTATGAACCCAGTAGGTAGGTGGCACAGTGCCAGGCCTCAGGATCGCTTTCAGCCAGGGGTTCGGTTCAGTCTCACGTTCCCAACTGGGACAGGGTTGTGGCAAGAGGCTGGGGGTGCATCTCTGTCAAGCCAGTATTTCCTCAGCTGCCCTAATAAAACATTGCAAGGCAGCTTCCACATGACGTATGCTCACCAAGCAAAAGTACAGCTTTCTACTACTGTGTAGAAGTCTGCCTTGTCACTTTGTAGGCACATTGCATCACGTATTAGGGTGATGAGTCCAGGGCCACCATGGGGCTGCCAGAAATGCCTGGACTGCTGTCAGGAGTACTCATGGGCTCTGGTTCTTATCCTGCTTCCATTTCATCCTGGGCAAGCTGCTTTTCCTTGTCTAGGACTTAGTTCATTCTTTTGTATGATGGGTATGTGGCTGGAATGTCAAAGAGGCTAGATAGCTAATGAGGGGGAAATGGAGCAGTCCCACTCTGGAGGGCATGACCCAGGGGTAGTGGGGGACGAGAGCAAGGAGGGAGCTGTGTAAGCCTGGACCATAGTCTTGGAGGCCTGGCAGGACTGCAGCTGTCTGGAACAACAGGGCCCCAGGAAGGTGCAAGGCTTGTCTTAGAGGAAAACACTTGGGACCTTTAACCCAGAACAATTCTTTTATTCAAAAACTGCTGGTATGTGAATTTTCTTCCCTCAGCAGGCTAGAAAACCATCTCTGATGGGAACTGCACAGTCTCTATGGGGCGAGTCCAGCTGGTGGGCAGTTAGGATGGGCAACAATGGAGATACCTAGCCGAAGGCCCTGTTCTATATCTTACTGGGAAGGAGGGTTGGGGAGAGAAGAGAGAGGAATAAATGCGAGGCCAGAAACCCCAGAGGGGCCCTGGTACTGGCCTGGTGAATGAAGATTAAAGCCAGCCCAGATGCAGCCTTGGGCAGCTTGCTCTGATTCATGCTGCCCCCTGTTGGCTGCTGCCACTGCTGCCTTCTCCCTTCCGATTCTAACTACTATAATGTCCGTCTGGTCCCTGTCCTATGCCATCAGAGGCCTGAAAGCCCTGCTGCCCAGGAGTCAGAATTCTGGTGCCTCTACTTGGGTATGTCCTTCATTGTGAGGACATGTGGGACACCCAGATGAGGCTGTCCTACCTTACAATTGAGATTACCTGGAACCCAACTTGGTAAGCTATAGCTCAACTAAGGTCATAACAAAGTTCTTGCTCTGGAGACAGGTCTGCGGGGTCAAGTCTAACTGCACCTGATGTCTCATGGGGACGAGGGTCCTCTGCTTCCCTGACCAGGACCAGGAGCTTCCTACATCCCTTCTGCTGAGGCAGGAAGGGGCTTGGCCCAGCCAGGGTGTTCCTGACAGGGTGGGCCATGTGCCCTCCGAAAGCCCTGGTGGCCCAACCTTTAAGTCTTCCTATGTCAGTCCCTGGGGTTGGTCAGATCAGCCATGTGCCTTCAGATGAATGTGGTGGCAGGTCACACACGCCTGTGAAAGTGAGATCCTTGGAGTGAGGGGCCTGTGGCTCATAGCACTTCTGTGTTCCCAATAAAGAGGCCTGCCCCTTTGACACTCCAGCCAAGTAGCTCTCCAGGGTCTTGAGCAGCCGCCGTGGGCTCTTCTTGGCCAGCAATTCCACGTCTGGAATAGAGCATTGGGGTACAGAAGGCTCGAGTGGGCTTTGGGCTGCAGAACAGTCGGGGCCCAGCAGCTCTAGGAAGTACCCCCAGCCCAGAGCCTATGGAGAGAAGGTAAAGGAGTCTTCTTAGATGTAGAGCACACCAGAGAGGGAGATCAAGGAACCAGACAGAGCCACAGGGAGCCCACACTTTACCCTGTCCAGGACTGCTGGAATTTTGAATAGAGTTCAACTGCTGGACCCAGCTTTCAACTCAGAAAATAATATCACCATAGGTATAATGCCAGAAAGGGAGGAGAGGGGTGGCGGAGAAAGGGACTACCAGGCTCCAGAGGCTGGGCGGGAAGGGAACTGCAGCCCAAACCAGTCTGGAACCACCCTGAGGTCCCTGAGCCTGGGAATACCAGTTTAGGAGCTAGGCCTCCCCAGAAGAAAGAGCATACCTTTGAGGACAAAGCCTGAGTCTGAGATGGTCTTCTGCTGTGTCCTCCAGATGTGGGCGAGGTGGAGGAAAGTGGCGGCATAGAAGCTGTTCACCACTGGGATCACCTTCTGCTGCCGATTACACTCCCTGCAGGACAAGGGAGGTGACCTGCTCAGCAGCAGACAGAGGTTGACACCTGGGTGACCCCCCACTCCTCCAGGGAAGCCATTCCCCAAGCGGCCATCACATCTGAGGTCAGGGTTGGGGAGGAGAGATGGGCTGGGAGACTGGTGAACGGGGACTTTGCCTAGGCTCCCCAGGAGCCAGCAGGTGAGGATGAAAGCTGGGGAGAATGCAGCAGGGATGGGAGGGAACCAGCCTCTGCTGGGCCACTCAGTGTGGGGTGAGCAGTGTGGGGACTCACCTGGAGAGACACTCCTCCCTCAAGGCCTGGATTGCAATGCGAGTGATATTCACAGACATCAAACAGAAGGGGAATTGCTGGAATGGAAGTGGCACCAGGTCAGTGGCCACCCAGGCCATGCCTTTTGTGTCTCCCATCTTCTACAACCTAGCCTGGCCTGCAGGCGGTAACAGTAGCTATAGCCCAGAGGCAGCAGCCAATATTACGGATGCTTACATTTAATTTTCACAGTGATCTTTTTCCCATCTTACAGTTGAGGACCTTACAGATCAGTGACCTTAAATAACTTTCCTAAGGCAGTGGAACCAGGATTCCAGCGGAGGTTAATTCACTCCAAAACTGGTATGCATAACTCGTGCTAGTTCTCTCGCCTCTTCAGCATCTGACCCATTAACTCCCCTTGGCCTTCATCAGACTCACCTGTATGCCACCCATGGACCACATCACTCCTTGGGATTAGGATGATCACAAGGGAAATAAGGCCCAGTTATCTAACAAACTCCCTTTCTGGTTATCTGACTGCTCATAAGCACTTCATCTCAAAGCAGAGAAGGTGCAAGTAGGCGGGAAGTCCACCTTGACTTGTTGGCACACCCCACCTCTCAGCAACATGGAGCCTGAGAACCAGCAGTGGAGGTTGAGAACAAGCTCCTAAGAGAGGGCAGCGTGGAGGCCAGCTGGGGCACTTCACCAGGATGGGCCTCAGAACCCCCTGGGATCCACGCCAAAGCTTTACTTTTGGAGGAGCAAATTCCTTCCTATTTGATAACAAAAAGAATACCAAGCAAATGAAAAGAGGCTTTTTCCAGGGAGTTTACAAGTATCACATGCTAATTTCCACTGTGGCACATACACAAGGACACCCACTGACAGGGACACACAGATGAATGCATTCTTTATTAGTTTAAAACAAGAGCCAAAGTCGGGCTCTTGCCTGAAGAGGGAAGCTCTATTACATTATGATGTAGACCTGTGCTGTCCAGTAAGGTAGCAACTAGCCGCATGTACCTATTTAAATTTAATTAAAAAGTAAATAAAATTTAAAATTCAACTCCCTAGTCATCCTAACAATATTTCAGGCACTCAATAGCTACATGGGCTCAGTAGCTACTGTATCGGGCAGTGCAGGTCTAAAACATCTTGGCCACTGGAGAAAATTCTATTTGACAGCACTGAACTGTGGAGGGCCTTTTTCTCAAGGTCTTTCACGACACTTGGATTCCAAATCTTGGCCTTGCCACCTGCTAGCTGTGTGTCCTTAGTAAGGCAGTCCAAATTCTGTGAGACTCAGCTTTCTTCTCTTTCAAAACCAAAAAGGAAATAAACTTTGAGTGCTGTGCAGAAAAGAGTGAGCACAACAGGCCTGAGACTGCTGCCTGGAGAAAGACCTGCTTACAAGGTTAGCCCTTGGCGAGCACCTGGGAACGTATGGAGTCCCACCATTCCCTCGGGATAACTTACTGTGCCTACACCCTCTGTGCAAATAATATGGTTTACGCTGAACACCTGCTTTCTCTCTGTGATTCTGGAATTTTGGTACGTGCTAGACACATGGGGTCTACATGACCAGCCCGCAATAAAAACCTTGGGTACTGAATCTATAATGAGCCCCCTGGTTGGCACCATTTCACGTGCTGCACAATTTGATGCTGGAGGAATTAAGTGTGTCCTATGTGATTCCACTGGGAGAGGATTCTTGGAAGCCTGCACCTGGTTTCCTATGGATTTTGTTCCCCGCACTTCTTCCCTTTGCTGATTTTGCTTTGGCTGTACTAAATCACAGCTATACGACCATATGCCAAGTCTCGTTAGTCTTCCCAGTGAATCATAGAACTTGGGGGGTTCTTGGGGACCCCGATGCAAGTGCCATACTGGGCAGAGTCCAGACACTAATCATTACAGAAACTCTATGAGATAGATTTTATTATCCACACTTTACATTTTCTGTTATCTCATAATCTGCCTCACAGGGTTGCTCTGAGGAGTAATTTAGATCACATATACAAAACAGTAAGCACGGTGTCAGCCTAAATAGGTGCTAACAAACATTTACAATTATTATCTTTGCCTCAGTGTGTGTGGCTGAGGTCAGAACCAATGCATTTGTATCTTCATGTATTGCCTATTTAATTATCACATGTATCTACATAATATGGCTCCTTCCCTTGATTTTTTTCAGTCTAAAAATAAATATGGGAACAAGAATATGGTAGCAATATAATTAACAGAGGATTTAAACCTAGTGTTCATTCACTCTTGGGAACATTCTTATAAAACCCACTTATTAAAAAGCAGTGAAAAACTAGAATTTAGATCTAAATGTCTCCTTTCCTTCAGCAGTTCCCTTGGACCTGAAAAGTGTCCCTTTGAGCTAAAATACTATGCTGAGGCTGTGTTAAGGGAACTGACTAAAAGCAGAAGAAATAAGATCTGGACACTTTTGAGTTTTCATTTAAAATTTCATTTCTCTTCAGGCCTCATATTTGGGCTTAAATACCTCCAAATACTGAAGCAGGAAGACCAGATTGTCTTTGGTGGCTGCTGCTAACATGGCTCCACTTCTGGAGATTCCAGTTCAGTAGTTCAGGGGACAGTCCTGAGCATCCACATCCCCCCAGGAGACTCTGAAGTGTGTTTGCTGGTAAGGAGCCTGTCACTAGCTAGCTGTCAGGAGATGTGGGTCCCAGTCCCGGCTTCACTTAACGAGCCACCCAGCTTTGCACAGAAACACTTTACCTCTCTGATCCTTTCATTCCTTCACCTTATAAAGGAGATTTATAAGGATCATCTCTGCCCTACCTCTTTGCAGGCTTGTCACGTTGATGGAATGAAATAATGGATGGAAATTGCATGGAAAGCTATACAAATTGTTGGACATGAGTAAATATTAGTATAAGGCGCTTCCGTGCTTGCCAGCAGTTAGCCTGATGTGGCCTGCCTCTCTTGGCTGCAGCACTCCTCAGGACAGCGTGGGCTAAGCGGTTCTACGCTGCTGGGGTTCATGGGCATCCTGGGGTCCCTCTAGAGGTTGTAGTTTTTGGCCAATTTCTCTTTAGCAGGATGTACCACAGATACCTGAAACTTTAGCTCTCCCCTTCAGAGAGAAACAGGGCTGGCTGCTGGTAAGACTGTGTCCCCCAACTGTTACTTCAATCTCAGACATGCCTCCTGGAAAACTGTGTGCTCAAGATTCATAAGCATTTGAGTTCATGTTTTACTTTAAAACCTTGGAATTACTAATACTTCAAGGATTTATAAAGCTGGAAGAGACATTAGAATTATTTAGGCCAAACCCCTTATTTCATGAAAGAGCAAACTGAGACCCAGAGACTTGCCTCAAATCATAGCTAAATAATAATACTGCAGATGAAACTAGCATCTAGCTTCCTGACACTTACATCAGCCCTCTTATTTTACTAAGCTACTCTTCCTTCATATTTTCTGACATTCATATTGTGAAGTAAATATAAAAATCTCCAGTAAATTCCACCAAGGCCAGCAGTTGAAGGGATAAGAAACAGATTGGTCAAAGTGGTCAGTCAAAGATCAAGTACCCTGTATTTCCTCATCTTGCTGTTCCCTCTGCCTGGGACCCTCCTCCCTCAGATATTTGCATGGTTTGTGCCCTCACTTCATTCCAGCCTGTTCTTGAAAACAAATGAGGGATTCTGAGTTGGCAATAACCCTCTACCCTGGCTTTCATATTTCTTCAGGAAGGTCTTACAAGTCTTCATAAATCACAAGAAGGGAGAAACTGAGATCAGAGATGATTTGTAGGAAATCATTAGTTGTGGGACCTTGGGCAAGCCATTTCCCCTCTCTGGGTCTCCATTTCCCAATCTCTAAAATGAGGGCCCGATCAGTGATTGCTGAGCTACTTCTCAACCTCTGGGAGTCTGTTACAACAAAGCAGTGTTGCTTCAACAGACTGCATCATTACATAAGCTAACTGGTACAGTTCTTGAACTTGACCCAGACATACTACCCTGAATCATAAAGATCACAGAATATGCCTATTCTCAACCTGTGGAGTCCTGATATATCTCAAGACCAGACACTCACGAAGTCCCACTCTTGCCTCCTCCAGTGCTTCCTGGAATAGACAGGCATATGTGAAGCCTTAAGATTTAATGACTGTTTTTCCCCAAAAGATAGAGATATTCAGTAAATGTTAGAAATGAAAAACTGCCCAGGTGGCAGGAACTGTATGATTATTTGTTTTGTACTCAGAAAGTTTTGGATTCAAGAGATTTACTGTACTAATGTGTGTGTGTATGTGTGTGTGCACAGCACACACAAATATGTATTTAACTGATTTTAAAAACATAAGATGCATTTTATATAAGATGTATTATATATAAGATACATAAAATGTATTTTTACTCATGGAAATCAAAAGTTACTTTGATAAGTAACACTCACTGAATAACTAATGTGCTTGGCTCTTTACATAGTTTATCTTCAATCTAGAGTAATTCTATAGGGTTGAATGATGTCCGCATGTCACAGAGGAAAAAACTGAGGTCCTGAGAATTAAGGATATAACGTGACCAACAACACTGTTATTGCAACAGTCTGTTTTTGCAACTCAAGATTGCCCAACTTCAACCCTCTAAGGTAAAATGATCTGATGAAAATGCTGTAGGTCTGACCTTTAGCCACTCATTCTCGGGCTCCTCTCTCAGGCAGAATCAAAGTGCACCCACCTTCCTGTTCTCTGTGCAGGGCTACTGAGACCTCTTCCTATCAGAGTTGGGAGTGAACCAGTGACATATACATATATAACAAGCTCTGGCCACTGACAGGGGCTTAGACACAGTGAGATCTTAATAGCAGTGAGAACACTGAGTGCTCAGATCTTGGTTTCTAAATATCATTCTCCAATTAAAGGAACAAGAGCTCCTTGGAGAAGTGGTTGAGTTCAGGGCTGGAAAATACAAGATGAGCCTAGATGATCTTTTGGTGTTTAGAAAGTTAAAAAGTGCTCAAAAAATGGATAGGGCATGTTGAAAGGGCACAGTTGCCAACCTGAAAGAATTCTTAAAATAGCCAAAGATGGAACAATTTGAACGACAAAATAAATAATGATAGTGTTGGGTTATAACTCATAGAATAAAATAAATATCTATGAGTCCACACAGATGTAAAAACAATAAATAAAAACAAGAGAACAGATTATTCTTTCTTACAAAATTTATTAATTCTTACAGAATTAATAAATGTAGGAAGAAGGAGGAAAACAGAAAATCGCCATTGGAACAGTTTGAGAAGGAACAGGATATTTACATAGTTTCAAAGTATCTTCCTTGAGATAGTTATTAATTTCAAAGGGAGAAACAGTAACTTTACAGTGGAGAAACCAACAGACATCACCTTAACCATGTAACCACGTAACCATGTGTTCAAGGTTAGCCACACCAGTAGTAAGACATGTTGACATTACGTGTTTCCAATATGAGGCACAGAGAAGGGCACATCATTTCTGTGTTCTGACCAAAAACGCATAACCTCAATCTAACATTTATATGACAAACAGAACTCTTCAACTTGCTCTTTCCTTTCCACTGCAGTTGATGGCCATTCTATCTTTCTAGTTGCTCAGACTAAAAATCATCATAGACTCCTTCTTCTTATACCCATATCTAATCCATTAGAAAAATATGTTGGCTCTAGTCTCCTAAGCCCATACACTCAAGAGTCTACATCCGGCATCTGACCACTTCATACCATCTCCTCTGAAAACACCCTGCTCCAAACCACCATCATCTCTAACTTGATAATAAAACCCTAGACTATTCTCAACCTGGTGGCTGGTAGGATCCATTAAAAAATTTCAAGCTGGATCACGTACTCCAGGCTGCTGAAAACCATCATTTCACTCAGAGTAAAATCAAAAGTCCTTATCATAGCCTACCAGACACTATGTCATCTGGTCCTATTACTCTATAACCTCTTTTCCTACTGCCCTCCTATCCTCCCATCCTCCTCCTGCACCAGCTGGCTTCCTGCCAGAAACAGGTCCTGAGAAGGTGCTGTAGCTGCTCCTTCTGCATGGAATGCTCGTCCCCCAGATATCAGCTTGGCTAACATCTTTCTCTCTTTAAGGCCTTATTTAAGTCTCAGCCTCTCATGAGAACTACCTTGACCCAACCCATAAATACTGTAACTCCCTCCCCACATTTTCCTAACCTTACCCCACTTGTTCTTTTACCTTAGCACTTATCATTTTCTAACATATTCTATAATTTATGTATCTATTGTGCTTACTGTCTTGTCTTCTCTGCTAGAAGGATCTTTGTTTTGCTCATTGATGTATCTCAAGTACCCCAAACAATAAGTACCACAGGGAATGCTGAATAAATATTTGTTTAGTGAATGAATTCCAGGTCTCATGAACCTGGGATAGATGAATGTCAAAGACAGGCAAATTTGTTTTCTAAAATGGAGGGACTACCACCATTTACTACCTGGGAAAAACACCAAAGCCAACTCCAGAGAGCAGGCTTGGGCAGAGACTGAGGGCTACAAAAGCCACTTCTGGCCTACCAGTAAATCTACGTGTCACCTGACCATCAGAGGCACGCCTTCCCCTTTGGGTGACACAAGGCTGACTCTCCTCCTTCAGGGTCAGGGACCTCCTCAGAGAGGGTGGTGAGGCAAAACACTAACACCACAGTTGTAGCTGGTGCTCGTGTACATAATCTCAATGAATTTTCCCAACCATCCAGCTTCAAGTTTCCACAATTTCCATTCTACAGATGAGGAAGCCAAGACCCTCAGGAGTTGAGGCAATGCTTGAGACACACGCTAATGAGTAGTGGAGCTCAGATTCCAGTGCTGACAGGGGAAGACCATTCCTGGTTTGCCTCAGCTGTCCTGAGAGCCCTCAGCCATTACAGATTATCTACCCGTGAGGCCCGCCTAGCCACTCAGAAGAGCCCTGTACCCAGGTCCTAGCTCCACTGCCCTCTTTGCTGGCTTCCCACCAAAGCCCCACCTGGATATGGTGACGGGACAGACGGAAAATCTCCTGGGCCATCAGCAAGGTTTTGGAGTCCATCACCAGGTACAACAGATGCAGGAGGGCAAGGAAGCCTGCTCCTCTCAGGTCTGTCGCTGGATTTGCTCCTATAACAGAAACCGTGAGAAAACTGAGGGTGACAGGGAACAATACGTAATGAAATCCCTGCTCCTGTGAGCTTCAACAACTTGGTTACAGGCCAAATGGAGAGGCTATACTTCCTTTGAGTGTCATAAGGTAGCTCTTGGCTCTGTCAGGGAAGTCAGAAAAGTGGGGGGCTGGGACTGTTATCCCTTCCCGGTGCTAAGAAGCCCCTCATCTCCTCTGGTGGTGTCAGTAGAGGTAAAGTGGTTGTCAGTGGAGGCTACATGAGAACAGTAACGAGGCACCCCTGCCCCTCCCAGCCAGTGGTATTAGTAGAGGCCAAGCAGGGTATCAGGGTTTCCACCTCCACCTGGCGGTATCAGGGTTTCCACCTCCACCTGGCAGTAACAGGGTGACCCTTCCCTTCCTCCAATGGCTCAATGTTAGAGGAGGCTTGCTAAATAAAAGATTTAAAAAAGATCCAGCATGTCATTGCATAATATCCAACATGCCCTGGACACAATAAAAAAGTTGCTCGTTACATCAAGAACTAGGAAAGTCTCAATTTGAATGAGAAAAGACAATCAGCAGATAGCAACATTGACAACACAGAGATTGAAATTATCTGATAGGGATTTTAAAATAGCTGTTGTAGGCAGATAATGGCCTCTCCAAAGATTTCCCCAAAACATATGACTGCATAATGTTGCATGCCAAGGGGGAATTAAAAGTGCAGGTAGAATTAAGGTTGTTAATAAGCAGATAGGAAAATTATCCTGGATTATCTGTGTGGACCCAATATAAAAATTGAAAGAGGGTGGCAGAAACACAGAGTCAGAAAGAGATGTGAAAACAGAATCAGGCTCAGAAAGATGCTATGGAGGAGGAGAAATGCAGGTAGCCTCTAGAAGGTGAAAAAATAAGTAAACCGATTCTGTCCTAGAGCCTCCAAAAAAGAATGCAGCCCTGTTGCCACCTTGATCTTACCCCAGTGAGATCTAGTTTAGACTTCTGAATGACAGAACTAGAAGATAATAAATTTGTGTTGTTATAGCCACTCAATTTGTGGTAATTTGTTGCAGCAATGTGTCATCATGATAATGTCTTTGATAAGCCATTACCAACAAACTTAGAAAAAATAAAGAAACATAAAAGTTTCAGTAGAGAAATATCAGATATAAGGAACTGAATAAAAACTTTAGAACTGAAAAACATAGTAACTAAAATTAAAAACTCACTGGAAGGGGAAATGAAGCCATTCTCAGACAAAGGAAAACTAAGAGAATTTATCACCAGTGGACCTACCTTAGAAAACGGCTAAAGGAAGTTCTTAAAACAGAAAGAAAATGATGAAAGAAGGAATATCAGAAAGGAAAACATAATAGTGGAAATAGCAAATATATGGGTAAACACAATAGACTTTGTTTCTCTTGAGTTTTAAAAATTGCTTAATGGTTGAAACAAAAATCCTAACACTCGTGATTTTCAATATACATAGAGAAAATATTTAAGACAATTATAATATAGCTGAGGGAGGGTAAAGGGACTTAAAGCACATTGTCCATACCAATAGACTATCAATTATGGATATACGAAGTTTCCTTTTTATATTAAAATATTTTCTTATTCTACAAAATATAATTTGATATGATTTTGAAAAAGAGCACAATTCAAAACCAGGTGTAATCATTTTCACTCAAAAAATAAAATATAAAAAAAAAATTTTTCATCAATATTAATGGAAAAGAGGAAAAAGAAAAACTAGATTCCTAATCACATCACTCCAATGCTTTCCATCTCACTTAGAGTAAATGTTTTACAATGGCCTGCAAAGCCACAAATGAACTGTTCTCCTTTCGCTCTCTTCTCCACTTCAGCTATACTATTTCTGAGTTAAGCATCCTTCACTTCAGGGCCTTTGCACATGCTCCAGTCTCTCTTCCTGAAATGCTTTCCCTCAGATATCCTGTCTCATAGTTCTGGCATGACAGGAAGAGGAGAATCTGGGCTCTCACTCTAACCGTGGAATCATGTCCAGGGAAAGAAGACGAACCATTCCTCTTACCCTGAAAGCCCAGATCTTCCCAGTGATCTCCGTAGAGGGCACAGTCAAACTTGGAGCCAGTCAGCTTCTTGTAGATGGTCTGGAGTACTCGGCCATGCAGTGGGTCTTGGCTATCCAGGCCACCTGCCCCAAAACACACCATGCTCTCTATTGGATTGCCTCTCAGAGAATGGTACAGTGAAGGTAGATCCAGACTATGTTCAAGACATCCTGTTCCCCCATAATTTTACCCCTTGGCTCCTACTCCTTATCCCAACATGGGAAATGCAAGACCCTTGGGTTAGTCTTAGTAACAGGGTGGGTGAACAGTGCTCTGCCTGACCTCATATGCAGTGCTTGCTTTGTGGCGGCAACCACGCACTCACACTGAGCAATGGTCAGGACCAAATCCCTTTCTTCACGGAGTCCGTGGTGAAGCTTTGGAGGCCCGAAGAGGCAGTGCCGGAGGGCAGCAAGCCCAGTTCTTCGAATTGTGGGCTGGATTCTTTTCTTGGGAGAAAAATGCAGGTAATGAATGCTGGGTTCACCTGCTTTAATGAACTTATGATCAGGCTCAGTACAGGGACTGTTCTTACAGAAAGAAGTAGTTCCCCAAGTTAAGTGGCTGGTCTCTGGGCAAGGAAAAGGGGGCGGAAGCTGTGAAGCATCTGTGGAATCTATGGACACAGGCTCTTCTAGTTCCCAGGTGTTTTGTAAAGAGAAAGATGTCCCCAAGCATAGGCATTATCCATCAGCTGTCTACATTTGGTCCCATTAGCTATTCCACTGAGAGCCTAGGAGATTAGAGATGGCTGAGTGTAGGGACTGCCCCTTGTGGTCTGACAAATATCAGACCGTGTTTCCCAGAAAGGCTGCTTCTACGCAGCCTTTGTATGTCTATGTCTTTCTGTAAAGGACATAATTTATAAAGGCTAGTAGCACTCTCAACTTCCAGGATGAGACACAGACAGTGGGGATGGGAGTTTAATGGAGACTTTTTGGGCGCTAGACAGCTGTGTGGGGTAGCTAGAGCCTTCCATCCATACTGACTTCTCACTGCTCAAGGCCATTGCCAGAGGTCTTAGAATATACTGATTTGGGTAGCTTCTGGCAACCTGATTCCTGTCTTTTCAAGCTTTCTTGAGCCAGGCTTTAGGTGTTAGATCTGAAATCACATTCCTCGAAACTTAATACTGGTCACTCAAGATGCCCCAAATAGGTTGCTAGCTTTTATTCTCCGCAATATTTATTTTTTTTCCAGACCTACATATTTTTTAAATTCCCAGATGGCTCTGGCACCTTGAGGGAATGGAAGATTTTCCCAAATTAGCCATGAATTATTCTGCTCTCTGGACAGGCTGCCTTACTTCCCCAAGGAACTACTTAGCATTTGATTCCAGACCCTCCATTCCTAAGAAGGAAGAGAAAGGCCACCAGGGCCCTGAAAGGCCACAATCCCAGAAAGGCCACCAGTACCCTGCACAAACACACGGGTCTTTGGCGACCTATGACTCCGTGCCCCAAGATTTCTTGGGTGAGATAGGGCCCTCAACTGGAAGCTTCCATCTTGCTTGCCCAGTGCCCTTCCCTGCTGGGATAGAAACCTGGTTCCTGGGAAGGTGCTTTGCTTGAGATCCCAAACCTCCCTACTGTCATACCTTGAAGGAGGAGAGGTCCACAGTCTGGAAATGCTGCAGCGCCTCACCAAAGGAGATTAGCTGCACAGGCTGGTCTGAGCTGGCTTGGCTCCCTGTGGTGAGAAGGAAGGCACCCTGGGATTAACAGTAGTTACTGTGTCAGCAAACATTTCCCGAGGGCCTTTCTCACTTCTAAGCCTAGAACTGGCTTCCAGCTGTAAACATCAGACACCCTAAATGATGACCAACCCTATTTCAAGGAAGTGGCATCACTTGCTGGGCCAACGCTCTTTTCAGACTAGGCTTTTCAGAAGCTTGCTAGACTGACCTCTGCAGTGAGTAGGGACAGACCTGGCCCTAAGGGGCTCCTTAAATTCCACTCATCTGTGAGGGGGCAAGTCATTGCTTAGAGTAGGCACTCATGCAGGAGGGTGCCACAGGTTTGCCTAGTGGTCTTTCCTAATTTCTACTTTGCCCTTTCTCACACCCTCTCCATCCTTTGTGACAGTCCATAAGGAATTAACTTATCAGTTAGCAATACAGGTGATAGCTGATACAGTCCACTGGAACATCTCTCCAGGAGCTCAAGTGGGGCTCAGGCTGGATATGGGTCCTAGTTCTGCTTTCCCACCGCTCTCAGAAAGGGATGTTAGATCATTATTACCAAGCCCTCAGGGGCTTCCAGCAGATGGCTTCAGTTCTCACCTTTAGGGATTTCTTTGTACAGTAAACAACCTGCTCATCCTTATGCAGGGGCCCTGGCTGCCTGCCTCCATCCTTCTGCCTAACCTCATCACCCTAGAGAAGCTAACCCTGACCAAGGTCCTCCCTGTCTTCTCTCAGGGCTGGGTGGATGGCGGCCCTTTCTCCATGGCATTTACTCCCATTTCCTTCAGAAGGTCACCATCTTTGGATCCGAAAGAGATTTTATTCTATGTCACACAGTTAAAATCAGAACACACCTAATCCTAGAGTCAGGGAAACGTTAGCCTCACATGTGGACGGTGTCTTACTAGCAGCTTGTTGTAAGGAGATAGTGCCATTCTTGCAGTTACCTGTCTCTGGCTGGATGTTATCCACAGCTTCCCATTCTTCTTGGGCTCTGAGCACCTCTGTGCTCGTAACTGCAACAGCGAGAAAAGATGCCCCCCTGAGACCTCGGTGTCTGGATCACTGCCAGCCCCAGCTTTATCTGCCTGCCTTGGGTCTTGTTGCCCTCAGATACCCATTTTGCACGGCTGCCAGAGCTCTGCTGGGAGCTCTGACTTGGGCTCCACCCAGGATCCAAGGGACTTGAAGGGGACCTTACCACTTGGCACCCATCCATTAGTTTCTGTTGTCAGGGCCCAGAGGATGCTGTGGTTCTTCAATTCTGAGATCTGTAGGAGCAGTGATCTTTAGTGTGAGGGTAGAATTCATGTCCCCCATACACACAAACACATCCTACCACTGTACTGAATGTCCTTGAAACTGCAGGCCAGAAGGATCTATTCTACTCAGATGGGTTGATTAAAGTCCATCTTAAAGAGAGGCACCTGGAGAACTCCAACTATGATGTAGAAGTTGGGTGATGTGGGGACCACATCCTATGTCCTCCTTGAATAGTAAACAAACAAAAATTCACACAACTCAATTAAGACTGTGGTGTGTCTCTAGTACTCCTGCTGCACTTTATATTCTGCTTCACTACAGCAATCATCTTAATAGATAGAGGTTGTTTGCTTGTTTGTACCCCACACCCTTTCCCCTGAGGATGAGCTCTCGGAGGGCAGGGTCTATGCCATCCTGTGTCACGGTTCCTAGCACCACATGGTAGCATGCAACACAAGCTTGCAATGGCAGGAGATACTAAGGTGCAGGCGACACGTACAGGAATTCCTCTGAAAGCCAGAAGAGCACCGCTGTCCTTGCCATACGGTGAAGAGTACCCAGCAGACATATTTTCAACCTGTAAGACAAATCAGAGTCAATCTCCCAGGCACATGTCAGTCTCCAAAGGCAACAGCTCAAATGTCACACCTTTTCCTAGTATCACACACACAAAATCTGGTTTTAAGAACTGGAAAAAGCTTAATGTTATCTCAAAAACTCTTACACAGATTTCCTGGCTCCATTAAAGGTCTCAGGGCTCTGAGTAAGTAAAGTTCAGAGAGGTGGTTCCTCACTTTTGGCCCTTCTGCTCAGCCAAATCTTTCCCTTAGTAGAGCTTTAAAAAAAAACCCATCTGACCAACTTTTTGCAACTCACATCACCAAAACAGGGCTAATTTTCTTAATATATTTAGGAAAAAGAAAAAAAAAAAAGTCCTACAAATCAGTAAGGAAAAAAAAAAACCCAGTTGAAAAACAGGCATAGATATGGACAGTTTACACAAAAGGAAACACAAATAGTTCTTAAACATATGAAAAAATGCTTAACCTTACTCTTGATAAGACAAATATCAAATAAAACTACTCTGAGATAGTATTTTTCACTTAGCATATTATCAAAGACCAAAAGTTTGATAACACACTGTTTTGGCTAGAGTGTTAAGTTTTATAGCAGGTTGGAGAGTAAATTGTTACCACTTCTATTGTTTGGCAACACCTGACAAAATCACACCTGCTCTGCACATTTTGGGCCTACAATTGCATTCTAGGATTCATCTAACAGATATACTCATCTATATGCAAAATAAAATGCTTACAGTGTCATTCATAGTGGCACTGTTTGTTATCACAAAAGGGTAGAAAAACCCTAAATGTCTACCAACGAACTAATTAAACAAATGAAAGTATATCCACTCAATGAGATCCTATATAGCCATAAAGAATAAAAAAATGTTTTATGGACAATATGAAACAGTCTTCATGATATAGTGTGTGGGAAAGCAAAGGGCCAAGTATGTACACTATTTTACCATTTATGTTTTTTAAAAAACATAAACATATTTGCTTGTCTCTGTAGAGATTATTTCCAGAATTATACCCAAGAAGTAGTAACGTTGCCTCCAACAGGAAAACTGGATAGCTAGGGGACAAGGGTAGAAGGTAATTTTTTTTCACTATGTGTACACCCTCTGTACTTTTGGGATTTGAACCATGAGAATATATCATTTTCTGTAAAATAAAATATTTAAAAAATGATCGAAAGAAAATAACTAATAAAGGAATCACTGCTTATGTCAAGGCCCTGGAATCCTAGATTATCTCATTACTCTAATCCCTCCTATATATTTTTGCCAATTAATAGTCCTTAAACTTTGATTTCTTTATGCTTGGGACACAAGAATGGACATCTAAACATACCATACCTGAGCCAACTCCTCCATAACTGGATGCCTAAGCACTAGTATTTCCCATCTTAATCCAATGAACACACTTTCTGCAGTTCCTCTCACCTCCATCCCTTGAGTCATGTCGTTTTCCTCCAGAATACAAACCCGGCTCCAACTTCTCTGAGTCCTCTATTCCTTTCAAGATCAGTTCCATCTCCTCAAGGTGGCCTATCTTATCAACTGGGCCTACAATGGTCTCTTGCTTCTCTAAGGTCTCATAGCCCTCCTGTATGTAGCATAAGTTCCTATGCAAAGGCCTATCTCTCCAATCAGATTCTGCTGCGTTGAGCGAAGGGACTTTCTTTTACACTTCTTTAATATTTCCCATATTCGTTCACATAGTATTAGGCACAAAGTATGTTCCCAAAAATATCTGGTGATTCATCATGAACAACTTCCTCCAGCAGTCTGTGTACTCTGGATTCATTTCATCCTTCCTTTTCCTCTCTAGCTCAGTCTTCTCCAGTGTCCAAAGGCTTCCCTTTGGAAAAACAGTTCACCTGTCTTAGTACAGTGAAGAAAACATTCCTGAAAGGCTTTGTCCCAACTCCAGCCACTGAATCTTATAGGCTCCATTTAAGACCATTTCTGAGCAAGGTAGTGGGAAAGGTAAGGAACAAAAGGTTAGCTGCCAGGCTTGCACAAAGACAGATCACAGTGAACCAAGATTCCTGAGGATAATCAGGCCAAAGCAATGTTTGACAGAGAAAGGGCCAGTAAGGAACAATCTAAATTGATGAAATACAAACTTTTGGAATAATCTCTCATTGAGGTTCTCCTCCCACCCAAGCAAATCTAAACCCAAATCACATAACCCATTTAGAAAATAAGCTCTCAGGAAAAGCAAATGACGCAGAGGTGAACAGAAGCTTCTAATAGAACAAAGAGAACTTTAATGTGGGTTTTTCCTAAACATTTTCTTAAACATAAAGCTTCAAGTTCTCTTCATATATGCTGTCTCATTACTATCAACGATATATACGAAACCAACACCATTTTTTCCAAACGGAAGTGTTTGCTTACCTGCCCATCTCTTGATTCTTTCTCATTATGGAAAGAGCAAGATTTTTCATTCATGACTCAAAATCATTTGTTCAAGGTAGCTTTGTCCTTTGGCTCAGAAAGATTAATAAGGTCTGAGATTAGAAACTATGGGGAGAGCCAGAGATCCAACTGCTCTATCTCTGCCTTGCTTCTTGGCAGTCATTCAGACTTAGAGCAAGAAAACAGTCCCTATGTGCCATCACCAGGGTGCAGGAGGTTTCTGTGAGTACTGAAAAAAGTCCCTGGGGTCTCTGAAGCCTCGGCCCTGTAAAAATGAACAAACAAACAAACAAACAAACAAAAACTAAAACTAGTTTCATCATTCAGTTATGCCTCTGTTGAGGCTTTAAAAACCTTTAGGCAGCTGTAAATTTACCCTGAATAAATAAGCTGCTTAAGCCAAATGCCTACCTCTTATTACCTGTGACACTGGATGGAAAGAAGGGGACCCTGTAGGAGTCTGAGGGCTGAATTCTCAGTATCCAGAAGGCAGCAGCACCACTATAAGTGGTGGGGTCTGTTTCTGACAATGAAGTTAATGGGCTCTGAGGCAATTTATCAAAGGGGTGAGATTAATGGGTGGCACCTTGGTGGGTGGTCTTAGCTGAAGTGCTTAGGCTTTGCTTAGGTCTCAGATATAGGTTGGGTTGGGGGACTTATACTAGATCTGGCCCCTATGATATGGTAGAAACTAAACATGCAACACAATGCCTAGCCTTCTTCAGTTGTCACCAATATTGTACATGTTGCAGCTGCTTAGTCAGTTTGGCTCAGTCTTTCATTCCACGAGTCTACCTTAGGAAGAGGGCTAGACAGGCTCATACTTCATCATGGTGGAAATGGACATCATGGATACATACAACAAAAATCCAGATCATAATGAGCAGATGGTCTGCACACAACTGACAGTCATACTTCACAGATGACTAAGGAAGGACAGTAGCATTTCTATGAGGTCAGTCCTCCACTGTGAGAATATGATCTGGATTTCCTAAGAACTGGCTGCCAGCAACGAAATGGAATCTTTGTTGAGGGTAAGATGCACTGATTCCTAAAACCAAGAGCAGGAATATCTCCTGGATCTCGGGCTGGACATTTGGCTCCCTGTAATTTATTTTATTTTTTATTTTAATTACTTTTTTAATTATGGTGACATTGGTTAATGAAATCCAGTAAGTTTCAGGTGTACAATTCAACAGTAAGGCATATATATATTGCATTGTGTTCACCGCCCATAGTTAGATTTCTTTCTGTCATCACATATTTGACCCCTTTTACCCCATCTACCCGCTACCTGCCCCCCACGCTCTGGTAACCACTAGTCTACTGTCCATGTTCAATGTAGCTCCCTGTAATTTAGAAAGGATGGCAGTGCCCCTTAGTCATGGCACCTCAGGAACAAGCTCTATGTCCTCTAGGTCCTCAGCATCTACCTCCCTTTTCCTCCCTCCTCTTTGACCTCCCTGACAGCATATGACAAAACACTCACACATCAGCCAACCTTAGGAAGGTGACAGGCAGGTATGTTAACAGTAATTTCAGGAAGGCCCATCTGTTACTGTGCATGAACTGAATCAAGCAGCGTAGAAGCATGAGCAGCTTTATACATCTACTAGTGCCTCTGTTCTGGCTGGAGTACTACTGGGGGCTTCAATAGGGACTGATACTATCTGTATCAGAGAAAGAAAAGAGCAAATACTCTGTCAAAGGAGCAGGTATTTGAAGTTAAGTCACTCCCACCAATATTAGGCAAGTTCCTGATAGCTGGACCTGAGGAGATGGTCTTCCTATAAATATGAAGATGGATCCTTTTCAAATCAAGTATTTATGGTGCATCCATTTTAGGTAAAGAGCTTCATTACAGAGTATAATTTTATAATTGCTTGCTGTAGCTTAAACTCTCTGAGTTGGTATTTAATTTAGACACTGGGTCCATACCTTAAATACAAATGAGCAAATTAAGTATGACAGTTTTCTGATCCTTTCATCAGGCTTGTCATTGGGCCGCTCTCTGTCCCCTCACGGCTCCTACAGAGGGAGGTGCCATGGAGACCCAGCCAGAGACCTGGGGGTGTCAGCAGAGCCCCGTGGCAGGCAACACCATCCCAGGAGGACGTTGCGGCCAAACTATTGGCCAATTTGGGGTACACAGGGTCGAGCGATCGCCAGCTGCCATGCGCATATCTCCAGAGTGTTCTCCATCCAACAACACAGCCAGCCAGCCAGCCAAGGCTGTGTGGGGGTTCCAAACGGAAACGTTCTCACTGCCTGGTGGGGAAAACTGGGCTAAGCAACTTGCCTCAGGTCGTCCAGCGAGTCCACGGCCGAGCCCGAACCGGAACCCAGGTCTCCGGCCTCCCAGTCGGGGTTCTCTCTCAGTCCTCTCAGCCTTGCCTCGCCCCAGGGCCATCGTTTTCCCCCAACATTCCCCCTCCTCAGTACTCCGGGACTCGGCGGCCACGTCCCGAGTTCCCAGAGCTTTCCCACTGCGGTTTTGGGGGTCGGGCTGGCCCCTGCGCATGCGCAGAACTCTCCCGCGCAGCCGCTGCAGTCGAAGAGCGCAGCTCCCAGCAGGCAGTGGAGTCGCCGCGGGGCTTCCAAGTAAGTAGTGAGAGGCGGAGCGTCAAAGTGCGCTGGAGTCTGGGTTTCTGGCCAAAAAGGCCAAGGCTGATCAATGGGCAAAGCTGTTTCCGCCTCCTGGCTGGGCAGGACGAACAAATTGGGCGGAGCCACGGCTATCAGGTTGGGCGGCGACGCCGTGAACCCAGTGCTCGGACCGGCGCCATGTGGCTAACGCTGGTGCTGTTGGCCGTGCTGCTGCTGGCCGTCGTCCACAAAGTTTACCAGGGGCTGTTCGCAAGCGGCTCCCCGAACCCCTTCTCCGAGGACGTCAAACGACCACCCGCGCCCCTGGTGACCGATAAAGATGTCCGGAAGAAGGTTCTCAAACAAGGTCAGCGGAAGGGACCGTGGGGTCCGAAGCTGCGCCAGGACATCCTCCGTGTTTGCGTTCCCTTTCTGGCAAGGCGAGCCGCTGCCGTACCTGGGTCTTAGTTTTCTCTTTGTAAAGTGCTGGGAAGGCTGCCTGCAGGTGGAAGCTCTCCGCTTTAGTGTCCCCCGCCCACGAGAGCCTTTGCCTGGGCAGGCCGCGGAATAGTGGACCCCTGGGCGCAGGCACCTTCCTCGGGTGCCAAGGCCTTGGCAAAGCCAGGGCCAGAGGAAATTTCAGGATTTTCATTGAAAGCTAATCAGCTTTTTTGTTCCACTTCAGTAAATGTGCGTGCTGCATGCAATAGCTCACTGCAGAGCTCTTTTGCACCTTGTTCTTCTTGCCTTTTGCTCAACAAATGTTACTGTTTGTACCCTTAGCAGCTCTGGCTTTCTGTAGTAGTTCGTATCTGTTGGCACACCTGTGACAACTCCCGGCCTTACCAGTGTTGCTACATAGCAACTCCTGCTGTTGGTAAGGGTTTAAGCTCAAACTGACCAAATAGCTTGTGTAAAAATTCTGGTATATAAGCAATGTTGTAAGTGAGCCCACTGCCCAGATCTTCAGAGCTTACTGCTTGGTGTTTAGTTGGACTGGTTTGGGATTTTTCTACAATAATGTGACCGTGGCTACATTAACAAGATGCTATAGACAAGGAGAGATTATTTATCCTTCCACATTTGCTCAGGGGCATGGGATTGCTGCACAGAAATCTCTTCCAACTTGTATAGGAAATTCCATTTCGCCCATTATGTGATTTGCCTGGCTATGCATGGTTCCAACTCAGGTGGTTGAACCCTGGTTCTGAAACTTTGGGAGAGACTCAGCAGGGTCCCTCAGGCTCAGAACTCTCTTCTGTCAACCAGAGTACCTCCACTATCAGCTTTAAAACATATTTTTGATTACTTCTAGGGTTGAAAGAAAGTCCTGCTTTAAGAAAAAATTGGATCCCTTGTTTGATCTCTAGAGTCCCTCTCACTTTAAAATTTTAGAGTGTATGACACGTCTTTGCTACATAGTTCTAAGTGGAAAGACTATTATATTAGTCTGAACTGAGATCAGAGTTTTAGCTAATTTACTGCATAACGATAGCAAATCATTCCTAAAAATGAGATGACTAGTTTAACCTTTTTCAGACCACGTTATGATCTATTAGTGCATCACAGAATCAAGTTAGTGGGTTGCAACTAGCATTTTCAGTGCAGTAGAAGAGATGTCAGAGTGTGCCATACTTAATTCTCATAAGTATTGTGAAACTTGTTTCAAGTGTTTTTATTATATACTTAAATATGTTCTGGGTTATGATATAAAATGTATTTCTCATTATAGATCTTTCTAAAAATGTTTGAAAAGTTAAAAATTTACTAAGTTCTCTTGCAGCTTGAAAAATTCCAAATTTCAGTTCTTCGGGAGTGATCTTTAAAGAACAGACTTTGTGTTGGAAGTGCCCATATGGCACCTCATACTGTCCAGTTTTGTCTTGTTTAGGTGCTGCC